CCCCTTTTTTTTTTTTTTTTCTTCCCTCCCAGCCTTGATTGAATTTTGCAAGCCCCTGATATCTTTCTTTTTTGTAGGGATGCACGCTGCTTATGCAAATACCAGCCTTTCATACCAGCCTCCCTGGCTCAAGCCCTCCAACTTGAATGTGACCAAAAGCTGTGCTCTCCCCTGCTAACTCCTTAGCACAATTACACCTCCATTCTGCTCCAGGGGCCCGGGGAGGGGGGAAAAAAAAATCATTTTAAACTAATAACACGTGCTGTTTGCTTTGGATAATTACAAGGGAGCTTCGGCTTCTAAGAGCTATGAAATATTCTGTTGAGCGGGGCGGGAGGGAGGCTCCGCGTTACGCCTACGCCGCGAGTTTTATCTCCTGACGGAGATGCTCGCACGGCCTCTCGAGGCTCCCTCCATCTCCTGCTCATCCCCTGCACCTGGGCAAGCATTTACATTTCCTACCGAGCAACTTTCCCGCTGCTTTGGGCTACGGGAGAGAGGAAGAAGGCGCCTGACATTTTCCTTATCTCAAGTTACAATTTCCTGCAAGCATCAAGATAATAAAACACGGGGCGATGGGCAAGATGAGCGAAATGAATGCGGCGGCGGAGGCTCCCGCAGCAGCGCGGGAAGGGCCGGGGAGAAAGGACACCCGGGGGATGCGGCTGCTCCGCTGGCTCTCGTTTGCATCGTGGCCCTGACGTTATTGTCCTCCCGCCTTGTCTGCTGGGGAAGTTTATGTGGAGGGCTTTCGCTGGGGCGAGGAGGAGGAGGAGGAGGAGGAGGAGGAGGGGAGTTTTCCCCAAAAGCACCCAGGAATCTGTCAAAAGAGGGACAGAAAAGAGAAGAAGAAGAAGAAGAAGGGAGACAGAGAGTGGGAACGTCAAGGACCCCTGACTAATGAATAGCAAGTTTGCCCTTGAACCTCCCTGGGCTTTGCCATTCCCAGGCTCCAAACAAGGGCTGATGCATGCTTGGGCCCAGCTGCAGGGGGACCGGGCTATGGTTCATCTCAGACACTTTGACAGCCCGGGCCTTTTCCCCACATAGCTCAGACTCGCCTAACTACTCCCCTGGCAACAGCTCAGTGCAGGAACCTGCGCTGAGGCCCTGCCTGCTGCATACAGAAGTACGAGGAGGAGGAGGGGAGCCGCTGGGAGAAATTAGCTAGAGACTGGCTTAACCCATCAAATGCTGGGCAGGCGTTGCCAGCCCCAGCACCCTTTGCTCAGCCCCAGCACCCTCCAGGCATCCCTGGGCGATCCCTGGCAGTATCCTCAGGGGATCTGGGGAGGGCAGGGTGGGTCAGACGGGCAGAGTCGTTGTGTGTCACAAACCCCACGACCTGCTGCTTCGCCATGACCCAGYGCCTTGGACCCCTGAAGGTCCTCATGGTGCCAGGGATGCAGGAGGGAGCCAAAGCAGCCAGCTGGAAAAAGCCACCGGACACTGAGAGGAAAGGGCACGGCCTCTCCCCGGTGTGGTGGGACAGGGCATCCCTCCCTGCCAGCCAAAATGAGGGCAAGGATGGATGAGAGGCACAAACTTGCCCTGGACGCTCTTTCTGCATTGCAGATCAAAGGCTGGGACGAGCTGGCCTTAGGGGTCTGCACTGAATGGCCGGAGAGAACAGGCACGGGCACCCGGCGGCTCTAAAATGCGACCCAGAAACGTTCCCACATCYCGGCCCCATATAAATCAAGGGGGAAAAAAGGGGGAGCTCCATCCCAGCCTCTGTTTTTACAGAGCATCTTTCATGTGCAGCCCCTGAGAGAGGGCTTTGCCGAGCTTGTTAAGGATGGCTCCTGCGCCAGGCAGAGAGGGGGACGCACCATATGGAGAGGAGAAAAAGAAAAGGGGACACTGAAAATGGAAAATTATGCAAAGCAGGAGGAGAGGCGCTGGGGGAAAGGGGGGAGGGAGGCAGCAAGGAGGTGGGGGATGGGGAAACAGGAGGCTGGAAGGGAGCCCTGACTTGGGGAACACCACGAGCTGGCACTGGGGCTGCACGAGGCACAGAAGTTTCCTGTGACCAGGTGCAGGACAGCCCTYTGTACCCTTGGGTGCTGTCACTGGAGGGCAGTTCTCCAGCCTGGCCTTCCCTGGGAGGGTCTGGACTGTGGTGCCCAGCTGGACTGTGGTGCCTGCACCCTATTTCAGGGGCTGTGCTGCACTGGGAGAYGCAGCAAAATGGGGTCCGTGGTGACCTAACTCAGAGGTGTCCTCAGGACCTCTGTTACTATAGCAATGAGGTTGCAAGCAAACATTGTGGTCTTTTGGTCAAGAGTTTTGCTTTTCATCAATCACAAAAAAACAGACTCATGTACCGAGGGGCCAGGGCATTGTAAAAAAAGGCTCTGATAACAGAAACGATAGCAAGGGCCCAAACTGCCCTGGGGTCTCAGTGCAGTGATGGTGGATGCTTGGGGGAGTGTAAGGAGAGTATGAATGTGACTGCCAGAGCTTTTCCCTTCCCCTTG